TTTCTTTAGAAATCATCATCTTTTTTTCTCCATCTGTCAGCAAATAAAACAATGTTCACAGAAACTTGACCATTAAGCATTCATTGTGCCTCTGCTGCCAGAATTTACAAATTAAATCCACCCAAAAATCAGTACTTAATTACATTACCACTATCCTGGGAATCCAGTACTTGCAGAGACCATAAAATTGTTCCTATAAGCTTTGTAAACTGCAATACTGGCTGTTCACCCTCAAAATACTGAGGAAGCCTTGAAGTCTAAAGCAGCTTTTTTTTTTTGTTGTTACTTTAATGACAGACACAAGTTTCACCTTGTCAGAAAGCAGTTTATAATAAGTCACCTGGCTTCAACTCATGACATCTTTTTTAAACTCAAAAAACCCCCTCAAAATCAAATAAAGTCTGCAGCCTATTGCTACCTCTCTGACTAAGGAATGATTCACTATGATGAAAAAGTTTTAGACTCAGATCAAAGAATTTGAATAATGCATTTTTTTGTCATCATGTTTCTCTTCTTGTGTGCTCTTTTGTCAACATTTGTTGCTCAAAGGAAGCACAAGAAATCATTACACATGAAAAACAGTGTGCTACAGAACTTGCTTGTTCCCCGTTTTTCACACAGCCAAACACCTGATTTTTTTTCCTCAGTTGTTCAGCCTCACATGCAAAACAAGCAACAAAAAGCATTGGAAAGTTGTCAAGTGTACATGGACAGTTAGACAAAGAGGAACCAGAAGTATTATTTTAACCTAGATATATTTAAAAAGTGAGATTTCATGCAATTTCCTTCCATGTAACTTGATCTAGACTTTCACTGGCTTTTTTCAGCACACAGAGAATCTACTGTAACCATATGGAACTTCCTTGTAATGGCAGCACAACTGGACAAAGTGACATGTCACAAGGAAGATTCACTTTGGTTTATTTGCAAAATACTGTTATATTGAGAGGAAAATGTTCTGTTAAAAAAGAATAAATGACTAGTATTAATATTAACCCACATTAAAAAGCCTTGACAAGTTGATAGTGCACACACTGAAGGCTCAACAGATAGGAGTAAGAAAAATACATGTCTATTCTTAAAGTTTTTTCTAAACTAAGGAACAATGTAGTGAGAAGGAAATACCATTATGTCTAAATAAAAACGAGACTAAATGTATTCTGAGCATATTATGAACTTGCAATGTATTCAGAGTCTATAGTAAAACGATGCTGAAACAAAACAGAAGTTCCACTGCTTCGTCTGGTACCTCTGAACTGTCTGCAAAGCCATTTTCCAGAACTTCTCCCAGCCTTCCCATACATACATCAGCATGAAAAGGTCAATGTGTTTCATGAGATAAAACTTGTATTTGAAGAGTTGGCAAGCACTTCACAAACATCAATGAAAACTCCCTCTTTCTTTTACTGTTCACTTGAGGACATTAACTCCTCGGTTCCTCTGCAGGAGAACCTCACACACACTGAAACACTAATTTCACCACCTAGTTTTTGCTGCATATTTGTCAGGCCAAAGAGTACCTGGCCAAAGTAGTAATACAAATAAATTTCAAATAACTTGCAACTAGCATACATGAGAGCAGGCAGCTCTCTTTAAGCTCTCTTTAAGCTCTGAAGGACAGTGTTGCTCATTCCATGTCATCACTGACAAGACCCAAGTTGCTTTATGTAATTATTTTTAAGTTGAACCAAGACACCACTGCCCAACACATATAAAATCAAAGACTTTGTCAACAGAAGATATTAAATAATTTATGACCCGCTATAACTGTTTCTGCTACCCCAATAATACAACAGCTACTTGCTTTTACAAAACAAAAGGGCTCAACAGAAAAACATTCAAGGAACAATATGATTGGAGTTAAAGTCTGCGTAATTTTTAAACACATGAACAGTTTTACTAATATCTTAGTTATCAAATCATTTCATTTGTGCTCTAAAGACAGCAAAATTTTTATTGAGCATTTGTTCAGCACACAGCAAACAATTAGCTAACTACCAAAGCCACTACAACTGTGCAATTTACAATTATCAAAAAAATTCAACCTTCCTTGTAGTTTTGAAACTTGACAGTGCATATCACAGGACATGCCACTCTCATATCAGTTTATACTCTCATTGGAGTACCATTACTAGACAGAATTAGAGAACAAGTTTCTATAATTTCCCTACCATCTTTGGCATTGTCAGTCTCTCAATGAATACTCTGACAGCCCAACGACAGTCATATTCCTTCTACAGTATAGGCAGAGATCAAGAAATTTTCCATATTTACTTATCCATCATCTTTTAGTGCCTCCATTAGCATGTAAATAGGCATATGGTATATCAGATGAGATGTTTTGTCCAACATAGGCAAAACAAAAAATACCTGTACTGTCTAGTATTAAAAAACAACTCTGCAAGGTTGGTTGTGCAAATACAGCAGCTTTTAGGAGCAAGAAACAGGAAATTTCTGAAAACTACTTTTCAGCATGCTGTGGTCAATCGCTTTCCCCACTCTCCCCCAAAGCCAAACGTGCAGGCTACATTGATCATTGAGTCAGTAGGGACAACCTCAGTCCTTCAACCATTTGGTACAGATTGATATGTGAATCCCAACATTCTTGAAAGGGCAAGAATGTTCACTGAAGACACAAAAAGTCATCATAAAATGCACACACTGTTCACATGAATAGCAAGGGAATAGTAAGAGATCTGACAGGTGACAGTTTAAGCCCCTCTCACCTAACTCTAAAAAATTTAAACGTGTTAGTAAGCATTTGGAGAGCTCACATGTAGCTGGACTACATGTACACAAACATCCTGATGAGAGCAGTCACCCGTGTTGGGATTGAGACAGGTACAGACTACTTAGATTTGACCAGTGAATTATGGCCATACAAGAGAGTGCCCTCTCTGATAAAATATGAGATAGCTACATTTACTAATATCCACTAATTAGATATGCAACCTGTGACTATTTTACTGAAGGAAAATTGGGGGGGGGTCTGTGTGTTTAACCGGAGGACCCAAAAGAGCCACCATACCCTGAAGCCACCATCATACAAAGGGCAAGTATGGATTATACATAAAGACCCCAATCCATTTCCTCTAAAATCTCTTACTTGCAGTGAGCTACTGAAATGCTCAAGCAAAAAAAAAAAAACAGGATACCATATTTTAGGAGTGCTCAGTCCAGCCTGTGACACACTTAGTCTGCCCTTGCATTCAGAGGTAGTATCAGTGCTAGAGATCATCACCAGCTCACCCCCCTAGGTTGCTCTCAGCCTCCTGCAGCAGCACACCATGTTTGAAGCTATCCCAGTCCTACTCCTAGCATGGCACCTCCACAAAATGAACAGAGAAACACATCCAAATGAACTGTGCAGCGAGTCTCAGCTTAGGGCACAGCCAAAGATGTACCTGCATCAACACCAATGGCCAGCACACCACAGGGCTGGAGGGAGTTGTGGGGCACAGGAACAACTGAACCGGTGCTGACATAGGATACTGTGCCACACTAAGCCACAGGCCCTGCTCACACCAGCTACAAACAAAGCAGAACCTATGATCCTACAGAAGGGGCCACCTCTCTGTACTGGCAGACGTCACGCAGTTCACCATGGATGAGAAATCTAAATTCAGAAAGCAGCATTTGACTTTCCAGTAGGGAATTCGGCATGAAAGGACTCATCTAGAAGAAAAACAGATTCTGTATTTGCAAGCATGGAAGGGAATACTTATAAGCCACAGTTATGGACACATTTATCAGAAAGTGTCACACACAGGTTCAGAGCTGAAAGATAAATGCAATTTCAGCAACAAAATAACCTATATGCTAGAGACAAATTCAAGTCTGAAGACAGCAGGAGAGGCTGAGACTTCTATATTTTATATCTATTTTATGTTATTACTCAATAGGGGGTTCTTTTACACCAGTTTTGTTGGCTAGCAAATCTTACTTTCTAGCAAAAGCAAGCGGTAAGCCCAACTTCAGTTGGCACAACAGAGAAAGAAAACAATAAAAAATAAAACCATAATACTGCAACAAACATGGAACATGAAGCAGTGGTTACAGACAAATTGTAAAGAACACCAAAGTTAAAGCAAGTCCCCATTTGCTTTAAGTCATCTACCCTGGCATCTTTCCCCTGACATTTTACAATGCCTGTGCCAGATCCTGGGAAACAGCAGGCTGCTGTCAAAGTAAATATTCAAATACTTGCTTCAGAACCAAGAACTAAACAGCAGATACGCCTCAAAAGTAGCTTCCTGTCCTAACTTTCCTTTGTCCTTTGGAAACTGCTGTGGTCACCGCCTGCAATAATGTTACAATATCAGCAGCACAGACAGTTCTTTTAGTGTTCACACCATACTGAGTGCCTGCATTTCACTCACAACTCTGACCATAAAGAAGCCATAGGTGAAGGCTGATGGCCAAATAGGACTTGACATTTAGTACTGTTTTAAATGCAACTTACTGCGTAAGAAATTGCCAGGTTCTGTCTAAGCTCATGTGCCAAAAGTGCTTAAGCATTCAAATGACAAATTAAAGCAATGGTGAAGACCACTTTCCTGTTGTTTTACACCACTAAGTTTCTGTAAGTAGCTTGTAAGTAGTTTGAAGTAGCTAATCTTAAAGAATCAAATTTTTCTTCCATGCAGATCACCAAGGTTTCAACAAAACACTACTTAAATACCAGACAATTCCAAGAAGAAACCACAGAAAGTAACCCCAATAATGAAAAGGAGCTCTGAATAGAGTTTTGCAGTATTTAACCTAAATAACACCAACTACCTGTACAAAATTAATGAAATATTTAACTGCATTAGGATGGACAAGTTCACATTTTAGTCTTTTGAGACTAGCTTTTGGTGGGTCTTCTGCTTGAGGAAATAATTTCTCTGATCACAAGCACAAGAAGATCCAAATTTCTGCTATTATCTAAGTAATTTGCACACACCAAACACAGCACCCATTCTAAAACAGATTGGCAAGTGGTGTGTCAGGATACCTACCCGAAAATTCAACGAAACTGAAAACTGCCCAGGCATTCAACTCCTGTACTCTAGCAAAGTCTATGTGCACAGTGCGATCAGCCTCCTGACACGAGTGTTTAAAGCAAACATGTTTTCCTGCATTTCACAGTCTTCTGAACAACCCGAAGCAACACAGGCAAACTTGCACCTTTGGCATACTATGTATACGTTGTCATTTAAAAAAAAAAAAAAAAAAATGCAACCCAGCATTCCCACGAGGTCCTTGGTAGATTATAAACTCCTCTGAGTTCTGTTACGCGGTGAAAGCACTTAAAACCACAAAGCAAGCGAAGAAGCGGCCACACAACACACCAGTTCTCCCGTGGCTTCCGTGTCCTGAAGCGGGACAATGACACCCAGCACGGCTCACACAGCCGGGCCTCAGGGAGCACCCCCGTGGCAGCGGCAGGCGCCGGGCGGCACCCGGGACCCCCGCAAGGAACGGCCCTTCCCAGGGGCCGGAACGCTCCGTCCCGGCCCGCCGCCCGCGCCCACCAGGGCGCGGGCCGCCCCAGGAGAGAAACCCTCCCTGTCCAGGAAGGGGAAGAGGGGGAAAGGGGAGCGGGAGGCCCGCGCGAAACCCGTCCGGGCCCCGCAGCGCCGGAGTCCGAGCCCGACGGCCCGGCGCAGCAGGCCGCGCTCTCCCTCCGCGGATGACCCGCGTTGATCGACTTCATCTCTGCCATCTCCACCGTCGCTGCCCACGAAGGAGTCGTTTCTGGGTCGGCGGCTTGGCCGCCCCGAGGGAGCCAGGGCCCGCCATGGAAGTCCAGGGCGGACTGGAGGGAGCGACAATGGCCCCCGGCGAGCACTGCCCGCGGCGGCCAGGGCGCAGACGGGATGGGGCACGGGGTGTGGGCGGCGGTGCGCGCGAGGCTCCGCCGAGCTACGGGCAGCCACTCTCCTTGCGCCTGCCGTGCTCTGTACCTGCGCGGGTCCGCTCCTTCGCTTCACTTCTGCTCAGCTTCCGCTCGCTCTACCGCAGCTTCCGGGGCTCGTGCGTCATTTACGCGCTCCGGGCGCCGCCCACATCATGTTCGCCGGCCCCGCCGCCGCGCCTGAAGGTTCCTGAGCCGAGCGCGCTCCCGAGCCCGAAAGCGCGCCTCTACGTCCCCGAGCCGTGCCCGAGCCCGAGCGCGCTCCCTGAGCCCGTTCCCACTCCCGCTCCCGTTCCGACTCCCGCTCCCCGTGGCCGCGGGAAGAGCAGCTCGCCCTCTCGCCCTGCTGCCCGCGGCGTTTCGCCCTAGGAATCACAGAATGTGCCGACTTGGAAGGGACTCATAGGGATCATCGAGCCCTGCACAGGACCCTGCTCGGGAGTCACACCCATGAGCATTGTCCAAGCGCTTCTCGGGAGAGGCCTATGGATTTTTTTTTTTTTTTTCATTTTTTTTAAAGTTGTTAAAGGCGGAAAGGTTTTATATGCCGGCAAACTTCCTGTTGAAAAGCAGAGGAAAACAAGGTTGTGCCTAGTTTGCATTCCTGTTCCACTGTTACTAGTTTGCATTCCAGTTCTGACCACCACACCGGAATGCAGCACGATGGTGGAGCTGTGCTCCGGCCTTCCCATTTTAACTCTCGTCTAGTGCTCTTCCTTCTACAGCTTCACTCAGAATGAACCACAAGCCGTTCTGGCCAAAAAGGAAGGTGGTAAAGAAAGAATTTCCTTTTGTGTCACAAGGTCAAGACAGGGCAGAGCCATAAACTGGGGTGCCATAAATGAAAAGTTCCTTCTGTCTATTGGTGCATAGTAAAGATACGCCCTTTAATTTCCATTCCAGTAATTGCTTTCAGCTTCTTGGGGATTACATTAATTAAATAGCACTGAATTCGCATTCTATTTTGCATTTATCCAAAATATAACTAGAAAAATGGCACATATAATAATATCTCCATAGCTCCAGATAGGGTTCATTAGGTTCAGCACAGATGAAAATCTATTTTAAAAGTACATCTCAGAGAGAAGATTAAATACTTCTTCAGTGTTTGTATTTTTTAGTGCAACTGCTCTTGTGAGGTACTCTGAAAGCATGAGTCATAAAACTATTCCTCACACAAAGCAAACAGAAGTTTGACCTTTCTTAATTTAATATCTTCGTTTTGCATGCAGAGACCCTCCATTTCTTCTGAGGTCAGAAATACACAAAAGGCACTTTTACAGCCAAGTTGGCACTTCTGTCCATTCATTTTCTTTCCTAATTGCCTGTTCTAGGACTGAGTGAAACCATGCCCCTTTGAAAGATTTAGGCTTAATTCTGCCTCACACAATCCAGCAAGAATAACCATCTTTGGGAAGTGCCTACGCAAACTCGCTGTTTGAAAAAACTCTTTTTCAGAGCAGTCACTAATACCTCCACATGTTACACCCAAATAATTTTGTGCAGTACAAATTTTCCATTCATGCAGCTCTTTGTGTTAGCTGAATATCTGTACAGCCTGCTACTGCGGATGAAGTTGCAAAACACAATGCATAAACTGTTGTGTTCTTCTTCTTCTCTTACAATTTTTTTTCCTATGCAGATTATGACCTGCTATATACTGGGAGATTTTTATAAGACTTTGTAACCACATATTTCAAATAAGACCCTATGCATCTGATATTAAAACAGTAAGTTTAATAAATAAATAAATAAAGATATTTCAATTGGTCCCTGGATGGAGGCTACATTTGAATTTAGCTAATTTTTCAGCAATCTGCCATGTTAAAGTTTATATCTGATTTGGGAACCCTTTTTTACAGTTCAGGTTCTAGTTTAAGTCATTCTTTTCCAGAATGGTAATGAGAGAACGCACCAATCATTCAAAAAAAGATTATTTTGCTAGTTTTGTGGAGCAATAGTTTTGTGTCTGGCTTTGGACTAGACAATACAAACTTAGCAGAGGTATCCTTTCTCTATTTGCTGGTTTCAAACAGGGCATATGTCTTTTTTCTGGTTTTTAAGAGGTTTTTTACATAGGGCAAATTAGCTACCCTCTATAAATAAAATTAATTCACTAGTCATTAGAAAACTCACTAAAATTTTTAGACAGGATTTCTAGAGTCTTAATGTACACTGTACCTGTTCCAATCCATATTTAGGGATTTCTTCAGCAGGTGGTACTCCTGGCTACTTTGGAACACCAATCAACGACCAGGGGAAGCAAAGCTTAGTAATCTATCCAATTCCTTGAAGAAAATGTCTTCAACTCTGAAGTCAGAAAGCAAGGTGAAAGGAGTCTTGCAGGAATGTGTTCTTACTGTCTGAAGTGCACCGTGGGGGTTTTGTGGGGGCTTGTTTGTTTGTGTTCTGTTTGTTTGACAGTGAGCAGCGATTAACAGACCCCTCCATCGAACAAATAATTTCCTCATTCAATTTAACAAAAGACATTTCATCAAAATGCTCTTCTTCCATGAGAAAGAAAGCATCACAGCTTCTTAACAAAGCTCTATTTAGCTTTGGAAGGGTGAAGTCTTATGACAATGAAATTGAGACTTGTTAAAATAACACTATATGCCCATTTACTGAAATTGCTATTAGTTTAGTGTATAGTGATCTCTGCAATCCCTTGCCATTTTAACTTCGTGCCACTATTTATTAAAACATTTTTTGATATTTTATTATTTTGACATTTCAGAATTAGCAAGCTGCATTACTATTTTCTGGAAAATACCAATTTGAGCAAATTCTAATGAAGTTTAATGCTATGCTTTATGCCTACAAGACCATATGCATACTAAATGTGATTAGTTTCAGGCAAAGATAAGGTCCAGGGTCCTGTGATAAAAAGGAAAATCGTCATTAAATAAAAAAAATTTAAAAAATGCCCACAAAAGAATTGCATTTGGTTTTCTAATGGAAAAAAATAAGTGCCTCATCTGTAGGTCACAAGGACTGCAGCAGTTACTGTGCTAGATTGGGTTAACTGCACCAGGCCAGGTGAGACACAGGTACAGTTGTACAGTGACCTCACTTCAGCTCTGGTCTATCCAAGGAGCAATGGATGGATCAGCCTTTGCAGGAAAGGAAGCAGCCTTTTAAAACTTGCTTGAGACTAATGTTATATTCAACTGCTTGCATTTGATTAGACTTATCACTGAAGCCTTTACTTTTCCATTAACAGGGGTGAGGGAACCTTATTGCTTAATTGTTTATCAAAACTCCCTGGTATTAAGAGTAACTACATCATTCCAACATTCTGTCTTAGTTACCAATTTAATGATGAATTTGCTTGTCAGAATTGCTAATTTCCATATACAAGTGTTTTCATTCTCTCTAGTCCTTGAAGAAAAGCTGAATGATTTTGCATTCTCTCTCTCTCCATTTATGTTTTCATCCAGAGAATTAAAAGGAAAGTCATGTCCTCTAAGTGCTTTTTACAACATTTTTTTTTTACATTTCAGAAGTTGCCAAATTAAATTTAATTGAAAATTTATACAGCCAATCCCAATTCATGCAGACATGGAAAATTCAAGTTTGAGAAGGAGTAACTATAAATGAACAAAAGAATTAAAACATAGGAGTTCATCAGTTTTCACAGATATGTAATGTTAAAAGCAAACAAATAACACTGCCTCATAGCTAGGTATTTTTAAGGTTACAGTGACTAATGATAAGAAATGGGTATTTTTACTAATTTGCTTAAAATTCACTGAAGTACTTAAACTAAAGCTATAGTCTTGGAAGACCTGGCCCAAATAATTATGGCAGTTTGTGCTATTTCTGCTTTCCTCTCATGGGGAGCTCTTGAAGTTACCTCTCCAACTTCATCCTCTTCAGTACAAATTTAACTGGGTAAGCAATAGTGGGCTGCCCTGGCAGAATAGGAATGGCATCAACTTCCACAACCATCTGTGCACTTTATATCTGATCACAGTCAAATGCCTAAATTGTTCACATATTACCAAAGACAAAGCTGAAGACTATATTAGATAGAGCTACATGCATTTGAAGTGTAAGGCCACTACGAAAGTTAGAAATCAAATACAAATAATTTTTAGTATGTCTATTAACTACAGAA